ACAGACTGAAAGTGAAGGGCTGGAAAAAGCTATTTCACGCAAATGGAAACCAAAAGAAAGCAGGAGTAGCAATACTCATATCAGATAAAATAGACTTTGAAATAAAGGCCATGAAAAGAGACAAAGAAAGGCAATATATAATGATTAAAGGATCAGTCCAAGAAGAAGATATAACAATTATAAATATATATGCACCCAACATAGGAGCACCACAATATGTAAGACAAATGCTAGTAAGTATGAAAGGAGAAATTAACAGTAACACAATAATAGTGGGAGACTTTAATACCCCAATCACACCTATGGATAGATGAACGAAACAGAAAATTAGCAAGGAAACACAAACTTTATATGATACAATGAACCAGTTAGACCTAATTGATATCTATAGGACATTTCACCTCAAAACAATGAACTTAACCTTTTTCTCAAGTGCACACGGAACCTTCTCCAAGATAGATCACATCCTAGGCCATAAACCTAGCCTTGGTAAATTCAAAAAATTGAAATCATTTCAAGCATCTTTACTGATCACAGTGTGGTAAGATTAGATGTCAACTATAGAAAAAAAAAAAAAAACTATTAAAAACACAAACATATATAGGCTAAACAACACACTGCTGAATAATCAACAAATCACAGAAGAAATCAAAAAAGAAACCAAAATATGCATAGAAACAAATGAAAATGAAGACATAACAATCCAAAACCTATGGGACTCAGTAAAAGCAGTGCTAAGGGGAAGGTTCATAGCAATACAAGCTTACCTCAAAAAACAAGAGAAAAGTCAAATAAATAACCTAACTCTACACCTAAGGCAACTAGAAAAGGAAGAAATGAAGAACCCCAGGATTAGTAGAAGGAAAGAAATCATAAAAACTAGGGCAGAAATAAATGAAAAAGAAACAAAGGAGACCATAGCAAAAATCAACAAAGCTAAAAGCAGGTTCTTTGAGAAGATAAACAAAATAGACAAACCATTAGCCAGACTCGTAAAGAAAAAAAGGGAGAAGAATTAAATCAACAAAATTAGAGTGAAAATGGAGAAATCACAACAGACAACACAGGAATACAAAGGATCATAAGAGACTACTATCAGCAACTATATGCCAATAAAATGGACAACTCAGAAGAAACAGACAAATTCTTAGAAAAGTATAACTTTCCAAAAGTGAACCAGGAAGAAATAGAAAATTTTAACAGACCCATCACAAGCACAGAAATTGAAACTGTAATCAGAAATCTTCCAGCAAACAAAAGCCCAGGACCAGATGGCTTCACAGCTGACTTCAACCAAAAATTTAGAGAAGAGCTAACACCTATCCTACTCAAATTCTTCCAGAAAATTGCAGAGGAAGGTAAACTTCCAAACTCATTCTATGAGGCCACCATCACCCTAATACCAAAACCAAAGATGACACAAAAAAAGGAAAACTGCAGGCCAATATCACTGATGAACATAGATGCAAAAATCCTTAACAAAATCCTAGTGAACAGAATCCAACAGCATATTAGAAAGATCATACATCATGACCAAGTGGGCTTTATCCCAGGGATGCAATGATTCTTTAATATCCTCAAATCAATCACTGTGATACACCACATTAACAAATTGAAAGATAAAAAACATATGATTATCTCAATAGATGCAGAGAAAGCCTTTGACAAAATTCAACATGTATTTACAATTAAAAAAAAAAAAACCCTCCAGAAAGCAGGCATAGAAGGAACATGCCTCAACATAATAAAAGCCATCTATTATAAATCCACAGCAAACATTATCCTCAATGGTGAAAAATTGAAAGCATTTCCCCTAAAGTCAGGATCAAGACATGGTGCCCACTCTCACCACTACTACTCAACATAGTTTTGAAAGTTTCAGCCACAGCAATCAGAGAAGAAAAAGAAATAAAAGGAATCCAGATTGCAAAAGAAGAAGTAAAACTCTCACTGTTTGCAAATTACATGATCCTTTACATAGAAAACCCTAAGGACTCCACCAGAAAATTACTAGAGCTAATCAATGAATATAGTAAATTTGCAAGATATAAAATTAACACAGAGAAATCCCTTGCATTCCTATAGACTAATAATGAGAAAAAAGAAAGAGAAATTAAGGTAACAATTTCATTCACCATTGCAAAGAAAAGAATAAAATACTTAGGAATAAGTCTACCCAAAGAAACAGAAGACCTATACATAGAAAACTATAAAACACTGATGAAAGAAATCAAAGATGACACAAATAGATGGAGAAATATACCATGTTCTTCGATTTGAAGAATCAATAGTGTGAAAAAAAGTATACTACACAAAGCAATCTATAGATTCAATGCAATCCCTATCAAGCTACCAACGGTATTTTTCAGAGAATTGAAACAAATAATTTCACAATTTGGATGGAAATGCAAAAAAACTTGAATAACCAAAGCAATCTTGATAAAGAAGAATGGACCTGGAGGAATCAACCTACCTGACTTCAGGCTCTACTACTAAGCTACAGTCATCAAGACAGTATGGTACTGGTACAAAGAAAGAAATATAGATCAATGGAACAAAATAGAAAACCCACAGATAGATCCATGCACCTATGGACACTTTATCTTTGACACAGGAGGCAAGAACATACAATGGAGAAAAGACAATCTCTTTAACAAGTGGTGCTGGAAAAACTAGTCAACCACCTGTAAAAGAATGAAACTAGAACACTTTCTAACACCATACACAAAAATAAACTATGGATTAAAGATCTAAATGTAAGACCAGAAACTATAAAACTCCTAGAGGAGAACATAGGCAAAACACTCTCCGACATAAATCACAGCAGGATCCTCTATGACCCACCTCCCAGAGTAATGGAAATAAAAGCAAAAATAGAGAAATGAGACCTAATTAAACTTTAAAGCTTTTACACAATGAAGAAAACTATAAGCAAGGTGAAAAGACAGCCTTCAGAATGGGAGAAAATAATAACAAATGAAGAAACTGACAAAGAATTAATCTCAAAAATATACAAGCAGCTCACATAGCTCAATTTCAGAAAGATAAATGACCCAATCAAAAAATGGGCCAAAGAACTAAACAGACATTTCTCCAAAGAAGACATACAAATGGCTAACAAACACATGAAAAGATGCTCAACATCACTCATGATCAGAGAAATGCAAATCAAAACCACAATGAGGTACCATCTCACACTAGTCAGAATGGCTGTTATCAAAAAGTCTACAAGCAATAAATGCTGGAGAGGGTGCAGAGAAAAAGGAACCCTCTTACACTGTTGGTGGGAATGCAAACTAGTACAGCCACTATGGAGAACAGTGTGGAGATTCCTTAAAAACTGGAAATAAAACTGCCATATGACCCAGCAATCCCACTGCTGGGCATGAACACCAAGGAAACCAGAATTGAAAGAGACACGTGTACCCCAATGTTCATCACAGCACTGTTTACAATATCCAGGACATGGAAGCAACCTAGATGTCCATCAGCAGATGAATGGATATGAAAACGGTGGTATATATACACAATGGGATATTACTCAGACATTAAAAAGAATGCATTTGAATCAGTTCTAATGAGATGGATGAAACTGGAGCCTATTATACAGAGTGAAGTAAGTCAGAAAGTAAAACACCAATACAGTATGCTGCTGCTAATACAGTATACTAACGCATATATATGGAATTCAGAAAGATGATAATGATGACCGTATACGGGAGACAGCAAAAGAGACACAGGTGTAAAGAACAGTCTTTTGGACTCTGTGGGAGAAGGCAAGGGTGGGATGATTTGAGAGAATGGCATTGAAACATGTATATCATCATATGTGAAACAGATCACCAGTCCAGGTTCAATGCATGAGACAGGCTGCTCAGGGCTGGTGCACTGGGATGACCCTGAGGGATGGGATGGGGAGGGAGGTGGAAGGGGGCTTCAGGATGGGGAACACATGTATACCCATGGCTGATTCATGTCAATGTATGGCAAAAAAAACACTACAATATTGTAAAGTAATTAGTCTCCAATTAATAAATTGATTAATTTTAAAAAAATTTATATTTGGCTCAGGCTTTGACCTCTGCTACCATAGGCACTGATTAAGCCCTAGGACAATAGGAACTTTTAGAGTTACCTTTCCAAAGACAAATTTCAGATTCATATTTAAATCTTTATTCCGCAGACTGTAAATTAAGGGATTATTATGGGTGTGACCACAGTGTACATCACTGAGGCAATTGCACTTGAGTGTGAGCTGTGGGTAAAAGCAGAGCTACGGTACACTCCAAGGCCTGTACAATAAAATAAGGAAACAACTGAGAGGTGAGATGAACAGGGGGGTAATGTTTTATACTTCCCCTGGGCTGATGAGATTCCACATATGGAGGAAACTACTTTAGAGTAAGAGTAAAAGATATCAGCTCACTCCAGTACTCTTGCCTGGAAAATCCCATGGACAGAGGAGCCTGGTAGGCTATAGTCCCAGTGGTCGCAAAGAGTCGGACACGACTGAGTGACTTTACTTACTTAAAAGATACCAGCTAGGGGACCACCAGTCAGGAACACAGCTTCAAAGTACATCACCACGTTATTGAGAAAGTTGTCAGAATTTAAAAGTTGGGTCATCTGATTGAGTTCACAGAAAAAGTGAGAGATTTCTAAGACTGTACAGAAAGACAGTTGCAACCCCATTAAGCTTTCTAACAAGGAATGCAAGACACGATGATCCAGCATGCCAGAACCAGTAGTCTACAGAGTGGGGGGTTCATGATGACCAAGTAGTGCAGAGGGTGGCAGATGGCCACAAACCTATCATAGGCCATCACAGCCAGGAGGCAGTTGTCCAACTCTGCACACAGCATGAAAAAAAAAATACCTGAGTGATGCAGCCTTCATAGCTGATAACTTGGCTCTGGGTCTGGACGTTCCACAGCATCTTTGGGATGGTGGTGGATGTTACCCAGAGGTCTACAAGGGACAGGTTGGAAAGGAAGAAGTACATGGGGGTGTGGAGGTGGGAGTCTGAGCTTATGGCCAGGATGATTAGCAGGTTTCCAAACACAGTAATCAGGTACATGGAGAGGAAAACTCCAAATATGAGGGGCTGCAACTTTGGTTCCTCTGAAAATTCAAGAAGAAATTCGGAAACTTGTGTTATATTCTTTGGTGCCATGTGGTGGAGGTGACTATAGAATAGGGGAAATAACATGACTAATTATCACACAAATAAGTATTCCTCATATTGCTGAAACACTAGTTATATCTTGCTGTTAAAACATGAATTTCAGTATTTTTTCCATAGATATTGCAATGTGTATAGAGTTCCAAAAAACAAAACCTCCTAAGGTTTTTGTCACGGAGAAAAAATAAAAATTAAGCATATATATAGCATACCAGATGGTAACACACATGATGAAGAGAATGAAGTCAAATGTGACAGAAAGCGCTAAGTGTGGCTGTTATTTGTATGGGTGTTCAAGAAAGACATGCCAGCAGATAGGGTCAGATAGGGTGATATTTGAACAGAGACTTCAAGGAAGAGAGAGCAAGAGCCATGAACAAGTGCTGAGAAGTGCATACTACTGCTGCTAAGCCGCTTCAGTCGTGTCCAACTCTGTGAAACCCTATAGATGGCAGCCCACTAGGCTCCCCCATCCCTGGGATTCTCCAGGTAAGAACACTGGAGTGGGTTGCCATTTCCTTCCAATGCATGAAAGTGAAAAGTGAAAGTGAAGTCGCTCAGTTGTGTCTGACTCTTCGTGACCCCATGGACTGCAGCCTACCAGGCTCCTCTGTCCAGGGGATTTTCCAGGCAAGAGTACTAGAGTGGGGTGCCATCGCCTTCTCCGAGAAGTGTGTGAGCATAACCGTATTTAATAAGGAAAGAAACTTAGAAAGAAGGCATTAGACGTGCATGCGGGCTCAATGCTTTAGTAGTGTTCAACTCTTTGCAACCCCATGGACTGCTGTAGGCCCCCAGACCCCTCTGTCCATGGGATTATCCCAGTAAGAATACTAGAGTGGATTGCCATTTCCTACTCCAGAGGATCTTCCCAACCTGCATTGAACCTGCATCTCCTGGGTCTCCTGCACTGGCAGCCAGATTCTTTACCATAGGGCCACCTGGGAAGCCCAAGGCAATAGACATGCAACTAAATAATTGTTTTTTAATTTAAGGCGAAAGGTGTGTCCCAGAAGTCAATTGAAAAGCAAATGATTCATTTGTAAGAGGTATTTGAAATGTCGATAATTGTAGAAAAATGACCATAGATATTGGCTTCATAATAATAACAGGCAAATCAAAATGGCCACCAAATATATCAATTTTTACTCTGAACATACAGCTTAATAAAAGAAGTCTCTTTCATACTCTAGTCCTGGGAAAAAACTAAAAGATCTGTCATACTTTGGGGTGAGAATTTTGAGCTAATAGCAAAGGTACACTGTTTGAATTTTCTAGCAGGTGTGATGTGTTACAAGATTTTAGGGGAAAATCTGAAATAAATAAATATTCAAAATATAGATATTCTTTTTTTTCATTTACTTTTATTAGTTGGAGGCTAATTGCTTCACAATATTGTAGTGGTTAGATTCTCCATTATTGGTACAATTGACATTCTGGGCCTGCTTGTCATTTGTGGGGCTGTCTGTCCTGTGCATTGCAGGATGTTTACAGCATCTCTGACGCTATTGAGCCCTCCAAGTGTGACAGTCAGAAAAGTCTCCGGATATTACTTAATAAGCCCTGGCAGGAAAATCATCCATAGCTTGAGCTTCATCATCTCAAAATATTTTTGTAACATTGATATAATAGCAAGTAAATGAAAAATACATGAAAGACCATTGTGGTGAAAGTAGCACAGGGACATTATGAAAAGTTATAGAGCCATAAAATAATGAATCATTATGATACTAATGGTTGGAGGTGCATCCATGAAGAATTTTCAAGTAAGAAGGAAAATGGGACAAAAAGTTGGAAAAATGCACTAAGACATAAAGAACACTTACAAAGTGTATATATAGTCTTCTATTATTGCATTTGTGTAAAAGTTTATTGAGTACTCATGTGTGCATAATATAGAAAGACAAGTTTTAAAGTAAACTGAAAACACATGGAGAAAAATGTCAGTGAGAAAGAAATTACAGTAAGTACAGTGGTTTGAAAACAACTGCATGTAACAAAATGGAATGGAAATCAACAAGTTATATGAATTGAAATAGTAATAATTTAACGACATTAACAAGGGTAATAATATGAAGTTATATTGCAAGCAAGTTGGAAATAAAAGAAAATAACAGAATGACTTTCATAATATAGGGAGAAAGCTTTATCTAAGTTACCATTTTATCTTACATGAGGATTTGTGGATTTCAATATGCTTAAGGAAGATACAGGACATATTTAGTCAAATGATGATGAGGAATGTCTTCCATATGATGCTGAATGTAATGTAGCCTTTGGAAATAGATCTAGTCACAAAAGGTCAAAAATAATTATGAGGAAAACAGACGCAAAACTTCTGGAAAAAAGTTAAAAGCGTCATTTATTATCACTAAGCATGCAGAAATTTCACTAAAATGCATAAATTTTCACTATTGTTTAGAACAATGATCAGCAAGTGAAGAATTTTAAAGTGACAGCTCTTTTCTTTAGAAAAAATAAACATTGGAGAAAACAAAACATGAGTGATTGATAGATTTGACCACACAATGTTATATACACATATTTCTCTTCAAATATATCTTTATTTGCATATTAATAATATAAAATAACTAAAAGCAAACAACCAGTTTGTAGGGGAAATCCAATTCTTTATTTGAAAAATTGCAATCAAGAAATAAACAGCAGTTATCTGAGCCTCGTGTACAAAAGCAAGGGGTTCATGACTTGAAATTTGCTAAGAAAGCTTTTCCATCTTCTCAACATACGCATCCAAACACACAAAACAATAACTTGTACAGGTGGTGGATACGCTAGTTAGCTTGATTCGATTATCTTTCCACAATTTATACATATATCAAAACATCATAAAAGGGACTCACAGATGGATATACCATTAAAGATAATAATAAATGGAAGAAAAATTCAAGTTGTACATCTCAAATATGTATAATATTTATTTATAATTTATTTATAATGTCAAGTGTATCTTAATAAAGATGCCTTTAAAAATAACTACTACAATTTAAAAAATAATCCAATTAATAAAATAGGAAAGGACTCACATAGATCATTTGAGAGAAAGAAAGTTTATGGCTAACATATCCACATATATAGTTAGCCTCTTGGGAAATGAAATAATAGCAATGTAAGATCATTAGGACTCCTGTTTTCTCATCCTAAAATTTTTTCATTTACTTCATAAAAGACACTGTGAAATAGATGTCTCAGATACTGTGAAATAAGTGTGCTATTGTTGCACAGGTGTATTTACAAGCATCCTTTGGTGTGGATCTTTCTCCTGTCAATATTAAAACATGGTCAAATAAGACCCATCATAAAAATGAGAAATATCTTCACTTTAGGTTATTCCCCTCCACAGCTAATACCCTATTTCTGTACCCCAGTTAATTAATAAGATATTTGGACACAAGTTCTACTTTTCAGTTCAGTTCAGTCACTCAGTAATGTCCGACTCTTTGCGACCCCATGAATCGCAGCGCGCCAGGCCTCTCTGTCCATCACAAATTCCCGGAGTTTATTGAAACTCATGCCCATTGAGTCGGTGATGCCATCCAGCCATCTCATCCTCTGTTGTCCCCTTATCCTCCTGCCCTCAATCCCTCCCAGCATCAGGGTCTTTTCCAATGAGTCAACTCTTCACACGAAGTGGCCAAAGTATTGGCGTTTCAGCTTCAGCATCAGTCCTTCCAATGAACACCCAGGACTGATCTCCTTTAGGATGGACTGATTGGATCTCCTTGCAGTCCAAGGGACTCTCAAGAGTCTTCTCCAACACCATAGTTCAAAAGCATCAATTTTTTGGCATTCAGCTTTCTTCACAGTCCAACTCTCACATCCATACATGACCACTGAAAAAACCATAGCCTTGTTCTACTTTTACAGGAAGCATTTTATGCCTCTCATCCCTCTTCTAATTGGGCTTCCATTCCTATCATTGACTCTTGAGAGTCCCTTGGACTGCAAGGGGATCAAACCAGTCAATCCTAAAGGAAATCAGTCCTGAATATTTATTGGAAGGACCGATGCCAAAGCTGAAACTCCGATCCTTTGGCCACCTGATGGGAAAAACTGACTCATTGGAAAAGATTCTGATGCTGGGAAAGATTGAAGGCAACAGGAGAAAGGGATGACAGAGGATAAGATGGTTAGATGGCATCACCGACTAGATGGACATGAGTTTGAGCAAGCTCCAGGATTGTTGAAAGACAGGGAAGCCTGGTGTGCTGCAGTTCGTGGGGTTGCAAAGAGTCAGACACCACTGAGCGACTGAACTGATTTCTGTCATTTAGTTGGCATCACAGAACACTGCCTTTCTGAGTTCAATATTCACTTCTCCTTTTCTTATCATAACAATATTAATACATTGATATTTAGTTAAGCAAACACACCAACCACATGGGCTCTGGGCTCTGGGCTGGACTGAGCTGGTACTCAAATGACCTCAGGTAAGCATCTGGGATATCCTTCTCTCTAGTCTTTACCTGCAGTGTCCTTTGTGCTCTTGGACTCTCCTGCATGGGAATTCTGAAAAGATGGTCTTCCTGTGACAGGCTGAATCCTTTCATGGATGACTGATGTTGGATACTGAGGCTTTGTCCCCAGACAAGACAGCAGGAAGGAGGCAAGCAGTGGTCCCTTAGACTTTGGACTCAAAAAGCAACAACTATGTCTTATCCATGCCCAGGTGATACAAACTCAAGGATGCAGCTGCTGCTGCTGTTGCTAAGTCACTTTAGTTGTGTCCAATTGTGTGCGACCTCATAGACAGCAGCCCACCAGGCTCCCCGGTCCCTGGGATTCTCCAGGCAAGAATACTGGAGTGGGTTGCCATTTCCTTCTCCAATGCATGAAAGTGAAAAGTGAAAGTGAAGTCTCTAAGTTGTGTCCAACTCCTAGTGACCCCATGGACTGCAGCTACCAGGCTCCTCCATCCATGGGGTTTTCCAGGCAAGAGTACTGGAGTGGGGTGTCATTGCCTTCTCCAAGGA